CCACTATTTATAGGAGGAGGGGAGGTGGCTGCGCCCCCATCTAGGGTTCCCACCCAAGGGGTGCGGCAGCCCTAGATGGGACTTGAAGGGGCGGCCAAGAGGGGGAGGAGTGCCTCCCAAGACAAGTGGAGGCCCTCCCCCTTAGGGTTTCCCCTCTCCCATGCGCATGGGCCTTGGGGGGGCTGGTTCCCCTGGCCCATTAAGGCTAGGGCGCCCCCTTACAGCCCATGCTGCTGTATTGGACGTGGTGGAACAATTTCCGGACCTCCGGACCCCTCCGGAATCCTCCGGAACCTTCTGGAAGCTTCCCGGTACAATACCGAAAAAACCCGAACTTTTTCCGGAACCCGAACAACAACTTTCCATATATAAATCTTTACCTCCGGACCATTCCGGAACTCCTCGTGACGTCCGGGATCTCATCCGGGACTCCAAACAACATTCGGTAACCACATACAAACTTCCTTTATAACCCTAGCGTCATCGAACCTTAAGTGTGTAGACCCTACGGGTTCGGGAACCATGCAGACATGACCGAGACGTTCTCCGGTCAATAACCAACAGCGGGATCTGGATACCCATGTTGGCTCCCACATGTTCCACGATGATCTCATCGGATGAACCACGATGTCAAGGACTCAATCGATCCCGTATACAATTCCCTTTGTCTCACGGTATTGTACTTGCCCGAGATTCGATCGTCGGTATACCGATACCTTGTTCAATCTCGTTACCGGCAAGTCTCTTTACTCGTTCCGTAACACATCATCCTGTGATCAACCCCTTGGTCACATTGTGCACATTATGATGATGTCCTACCGAGTGGGCCCAGAGATACCTCTCCGTTTACACGGAGTGACAAATCCCAGTCTCGATTCGTGCCAACCCAACAGACACTTTCGGAGATACCTGTAGTGCACCTTTATAGCCACCCAGTTACGTTGTGACGTTTGGTACACCCAAAGCATTCCTACGGTATCCGGGAGTTGCACAATCTCATGGTCTAAGGAAATGATACTTGACATTAGAAAAGCTTTAGCATACGAACTACACGATCTTTGTGCTAGGCTTAGGATTGGGTCTTGTCCATCACATCATTCTCCTAATGATGTGATCCCGTTATCAACGACATCCAATGTCCATGGTCAGGAAACCGTAATCATCTATTGATCAACGAGCTAGTCAACTAGAGGCTTGCTAGGGACATGGTGTTGTCTATGTACCCACACATGTATCTGAGTTTCCTATCAATACAATCATAGCATGGATAATAAACGATTATCATGAACAAGGAAATATAATAATAACAACTAATTTATTATTGCCTCTAGGGCATATTTCCAACACGTGTATCCCTCTGCCTTCTAACTTGATGTCCAAACGGAAACAACACTTAAGCAATCAATTTTAATTAGCAGAAACTTAATCATGAGCATTAATTCTCCAGAAGCATAAGTAAAACTGATTAGGCATAATAGGCGGTAGAGATCCGTGACAAACTAGTATATAACATGATGATTTACATAGGGCATCAAGACAGTAGCATGCATATTTGGGCTAACCAGGGGCTGAAACTTTCAATCTTGATCTTGAACCCTAAACCTGACATTTATCTAAACATGATAGTGATCTGCTGATCAACAATAAAGGGGTCTATTGCAATCAAGATTGGCGACTGATACCATTGTTGGAATAATTATGCATATGTGAGATCCCATTAGCAGAATCAAATTGCATCTAGATCACCTCACAACCTGAATAAAGAAGGGTTTAGGGTTTCTTTACATGTCACGGGAGTGGACATGATCGCCTGCTCGGTGCAGGCGTGATGCAAGGGTGATGTAGTCGAAGCAGAGGTTCTCCTCGACGTCCTGATTCCTTCAGGACACCACCAGGACTGGCCGAGGATGGCGGCGGCGGCTGGCTTAGGTTTTCCCGTCGCTGCAGCGCTCCCCCTGATCGGATGGGGTGAGAATATCGGGAGGAGAGTAAACCTTACGTGAATTGTGATCGCGCAGGTGGCCAGCTCTTTCCCGTATCCTTTTAATATGGCGCTGGCGACAGGGGACCCAAAAACTGAGTTGGTTTTTGGGCGCCCCTGATCAGGGAGCGTTAGTTCTGATCGAGGCTCACGTACGTTGGTACGTGGACCCCTTCACTTATCGTTATCCCTTCATTTTTTTCTGTTAGACTAATGGATCTAATATGTCCTGTTTAAGCCGTCAGATCAAAACCAACACTCCAATCTACGCTAGTCTCAGCTTTTCGGTTAAGTTGCTGCTCTAGTGCATTAAATCTGCTGGTAGTGTTGTTCAATGCATTTTATGTCTGAATCCACAATTCTTGGTCCATACATGATTAACTGCATCAGACACGAAAGAAGCGTACTTGCATGAGTGTACATTGATTTCTTCTTCTGAAACAAAGGAACAGACAATCATATTCTTTGTATTTGCACCTGCAGTGGGGGGTGTAGAGGAGCAGACGTACGTGGGACGAGATCGTCCTGGAGAGTGAGACGGCGGTGCTGGTCGAGTTCTGGGCGCCATGGTGCGGCCCGTGCCGCTTGATGCACCCCATCATCGCAGACCTGGCCAAGGCCTATGTTGGCAAACTGAGCTGTCTGAGGATAAACACGGACCAGAACCAGGAGGTGGCCATGAGATACGGCATCAGGAGCATCCCCATCATCCTCTCATCTTCAAGGATGGCGAGAGGAAGGAGATGGTCATCGGCACCATCTCCTTCAAGAGAAACGGGAAACCAAAACCCCAAAATTCCCCTCTTCATCTGGCCCCCATGCCGGACAATGGCACACCGTCGCATTTGATGGGTGGAGTGCTCTGATCACAGGAATCATCGACAATGTGCGATCCTCCACCGTGTTCAGAAAGCGCTACTACGCGCACGGATGCTTCTGTTGGGCGATACCTGGTCTCAACAAGTTGCTCATGCTCGACACCTTCAGCCTGGTCTCAGTGATCGCCTGGTTGCCTTTAATTTGTGGCAGCCACAATCCCTTATACGACTAGCTCATATCACCTCTGGTATAAGGTTTTGTTTGGCACCAGGGATGGCGAAATGCTTGCTCCTACATGGGATTCCAGACGACGACGACCCGCACTCGTTCGAAATGCTTTTCACTGAATCTCCAGACTATGAAGGTTGAGCAGTTTTGTGCGTACGGGTACATGCACTCCCGGATCACATCAGGGTTCCTTCACCTGTGCCTACTGTGTATTGTCATTGATAAAAATGGAAGGTGAGGAATGATACCTGTAATGGAATCAGAGATTCTCAAAAGAATATAAGCTTTAATGTACCAAGGACAGGCAGACCAAGCAGCTCATGTGAATTGGGCAGAGAAAAGGAATATGCATCTCATCTTTCTTTAGACCACAGCTTGAACAAGATTTGCCTATGTGAATAGTATATTTGCCTGCTCTCTTGCCTGTTGGAAGGGTGAACTGTGGCAACTATAAATGTCTTTTGCTTTCCAAACAGCTCTTCTGAACCAGTAGAGAGAGAGGGACCTGTGAACAGAATCTATATGCGCTTTTGGAGCAGAATTTTCCTCTAGGTGTTAGTTTCCAGCAAAGAAGATCCCTCGCCGCTAGTTTGAATGTATAATAGGAGTCTGTTTCATTATGCTAGCCGTGTCAACGAGGTTGATGTTCCATAGTTTTTGGTTGGGGAGCCAAAGATCTTAGACTTGGTACCAGGATGAGCTGCTGTGGGGTGGTGCCTTAGATGTACATGGCCACAGGGAACACCTCCTACCTCCACTAGAAGTGTATTCTACTGGGATGACAAACTCCTGGCTTCTTCTCGACAGGCTGCGGCTCCTCCTCAGCCCGGGGTACCCCTACGAAGAAATGTTGAGCAGATTCCAGGACCAAAATGACAATGCTGTGTGCTCCTATTTGCCAGTACTCAAGCCATTCAACTTCACCAAAGGTTGCTAGCTAGTTCTTCTTGTACTCCAGCTCTCCAGCTCCACCTGCTCCCAAATTGATACTGAGCAATGGAATGTTTTTGCAGGAGGACTGATACACCTCAACCATGGAGGGCCTCGGCCGCTTTAGTATGTTCTCAATGCGGCTTTCTTTGCTTCTTTGTACACACATATCTCGAAGCCGCACGCACGCCATGGTGGGGTTGTGGACCTGATTTCTACACCACGCAAGCCCTCCGAGGGTTTGCGGGGTCACGGGTAAGGTTTAAGGGTTATTATGTTCTTCTAAGTAAATCCTACATTACTTGGCATGAATATAAATAAATTGATGATAACTCGATTTGCAGCTTTGATTACATCTTAGGAAAAGAACCCAATGCTACGTACATTGTCGGTTTTGGAAACAAGTACCCCAAAAATGTTCATCACAGAGGGGCATCGATCCCTTATGACGGTGTTAAGTACGGGTGCAAAGGAGGTACAGAATGGAAGCAGAGTAAGAAAGCAAACCCTAATATCATCCTCGGAGTAATGGTTGCTGGTCCTGACGGGCATGATGGCTTCAAAGATGTCCGCGAAGACTACAACTACACGGAGCCTTCTCTTGCAGCAAATGCTAATCAGGTTGCAGCACTCATTTCCCAACTTGACGTTGGCACTGCAGACAGAAGTAGTTGAGCTGATAAGAACACAATCTTCTCATCAATTCCCCCCATGCAGAGCAGGGGCCACCAACAGAAAGAAGGCAACATGAGCTGACATAGCTTCTAAATTCTGAAGATGAAATTGATGATCATAGACTGGAACTTGTGTGCAATTTCTTAAACTAAGTCTGGGATCCTTGTTATTCATATGCAAAGCTCGTCTGTGAAGGTTCTTCCTTCCTTCCTGTTGAAATGCTAAGCCTTTTAAGGAAAATTGTGTACAGGAGCGACTTTCTCGTCGTAGTAAAGGATATTTGTATCCTTCATACATACAGCTTGCTTCATCTTATTTCACTCATCTCTGTCTTCAATCCTAATACAGCACACAACTAATGGCCAATTCACTGTAGCCATCGTCCATGGTAGTTAAGCTCTGATATGCACGACGACAGCGCTTCCCGTACCATCTTGTTGTTACCCTCAACGTACAGAACGTCTTCAAACAGACTCTTTGCCTGCTCCAGCAGCCTTATCTTCTCCTTGTTGTTCCGAGACCGCAACTGGGACCGTTGCTGCAGCGCGCTGCCCCATCTGTAGAGAGCTGCAACGCCACATTGCTTACATGTGAGCATCATACATAACCAACAACCGTATGTAGGAAATGAAGTATCCAAGTTAACACTTGTAGGGAAATTCAGGCCAAAAAGCAGAGCGGTGCCGAACCTTCTGGAGCATAAGTGTTGCTTTTGGATAACATGGCATCAAACTTATCGATCGCAGCCAAATACACCCGATCAGCATCAACTGCTGCTTCCTGCATCAGTTTTTCTCTTCACAGTAAGTCAAATGCACAAATAACCAAAAAAAAAAACTAAATAGTTAGCGGCATGTTACATTCTCATAATTTGTTAGAGGACTGATGCCTAGCATTCTGAGTTTCTAGGCTGTTTGCACTGTACTAAATGATTGCAACAGAACGAAAATAGATGTTTATCATTCTCATCTACCAACACCACAGGGCAACTATGCAGCAGTAAATCATACGTTACGCAAATTATTAGCTAGATGATAAATACGACATCAACTTGTTATGTGAGATAAGTGGTATGCATTATGTGAGCATGTGCAAACTGTATAATAACGTCGATGCTCATACCGGTCCGATGTCGGCAAGCAGTTGTCCACGAAAGATAAGCGCCAGTCCCCAATTGTACAGCGCCTTGACGTCGCCCGAATCAATTGACACAGCCGTCCTATAGCTTCTGCCTGCCTCAACAAGGAGGCTCTCACACTCCTCACAAACGCCCACTAGCGCGGACGAAATGTTCTCTCTGTTAAGGATTCTTCTGTCCAGCTTCCTGGACAGTGAGACACGCTCTCCTCCATTCAGATACGCCCCGCTGTTGGCCAGCAGCGTCCTCAGCTCGCGGCTAATCTTGAGCTTGAGCTCCCCATGGAGGAGGTAGGTGTTCCCTAGCTGACCGACCGCTACCAGGCTTGCCGGCCTCAAAGCCACGGCGGTGGACAGAAGCCTTGCTGACCTATACAGCAACGCGTCCGTGGCCTCTTCGTCGTCCCTGGCCATCATGCACTCCCTCGCCTTCCTCAAGATCTCGGCAGCCTCATTGATGTTGCGGCTGAACTCTTCACCATCTGAACCCCCAGCAGCACCACCACCCTCATTATCATCTGCAAGTGGTGGTTCCTCGACACTGGCGGCAGCGCTGCCCACGAATTCATCAGCCGGCGTCCCCCGTGCTCCACTCGCTCGGCTCTCACCGCCGTCGCGGCGCTCGATCTTCAGCCTGTACGACCTGTCCCGGATCTCGAGCGTCCTCTCCAGCAAAGAGGACTCGGCGGATTCAGCGGCGGCGAACCTGCCGCCTTCTTCAAAGCGACCGTCGCTCCTCACCCTATCGCCTTCTTGAAAGGGACCATCATTTCGCACCCTGCTGCCGCGGCCATACCTGTGCTTGGACACCAGCCTCTCCAGCCGGCCGTCGTCTTCCTGCCTGCTCTCAGAACTGAACCCGGCATCCTCAAACCCATTGGCATCAGCATCCTTGCCATCGAACGGTAGCATGTCGAGCGGCCGGGCGCGTCCGACAGCCGCTGAATCAACTGTCTTCTTTTCCCCATCCCCTTGCTGGGCTACAGCAGAGCCTGAATTACTCTTGGCATCGGCCGTAGAAGCATCAGGGGCGACGGCCTTGGCGGGCTTCTTCCGCGGCGAGGCGAAGCTGAGCTCCCGCAGGGCTACCCGAGCCCAGCCGCCGATGTAGCCGGCGACCTCCCTGGCCACGTCCTGCAGCGCCCCGTCGTCCGGAGCGCCGCCGCCGGCGTTGCTGCTGCTGCCCTGGCCCTGGCCGCCGGCCACGGCTGCCGCGCACTCCAGGACCGCATCGTGCGCCCGGTCCACGGCCTCGATGTCGCCGTTGTCACCGTCGGCGGGGGACGAGGCCAGGAGGTGGTCCCTGAGGGAGAGGAGGCGGGCATCGAGATCCGCGAGGAGCGCGGCGAGGCGCGGGATGGAGGAGGGGGCGGGGGCGGGGGCGAGGTGCCTGGCGGTGGCGAATCCGGCGGCGAAGACGGCGGCGAGGAGCGGGACGGGCGGGAGGCGGGAGAGGGAGAGCGCGGCGACGGGGAGGAGGAGGAGGAGCGGGGCGGCGGCGAGGGACTGCTGCGGGAGGCTGAAGGGGAGGTCCGTGTCGGCGGGGAGGTCGGCCCAGCCGTTGAAGGACGCGGCGGCGGCGGAGGAGGAGGAGGAGCAGCGGCAGCGGGTGGATGTGGATGTGGGGGTGGAGGGTCGATGCGGGCGGGATCGAGCGGGGAGGATGAGGTGCGGGTGGCGGAGGCGGGATGGTGTCGGCGGCCTGGAGAGGAGGAAGAGGAAGAGGGGCTGCGACGAGGAGGAAGGAGAAGGGAGGGGAGAAATGGCCGCCGCGGCCGCCATTATCCCACCCCACCCACCGCTGCCTCCGCCGCCTGTCTACTTTTTTCAGTGAGAAATATCCCACCTTTCCTACACGTGACAATCCTGCGTTTCAACAGGGCTTCGCCCGTAATTTTTCCCCAAAAAGGATAATATCTATTATAAAAGTTCATCAAAAATACAAAACATGTTAAATATAATAAAATTTACATCAAAATTTCAAGACCACCCAACAACCATTTACCGCCGTAACACGCCGATGTCGCCGCTCCTCTTCAGAGCCGGTTTGACCTCGTCAATGACAATTGAAAAGTCTCCGTGCCCGTGCCCCTAAGGAGCAGCGCACTGGACACGCAGTCGTCATCGTTGTGCCCTTCATATACCTTAAGCACCTGACATCAAATCTTGCCACATAACGGGAAACTGTAACCGCACCGTCCCAAAGACGCGACAAACTCGACGAGGACCGGAGCCAAAAAAAAGACAAACTCGAAGAAGGAGCGTCAACATCCGCCCAAACTAAAACCCTAACCTAAACTACTAACCGGAGCAAAGGCATCAGGATTCCCCTCCCCGCCACTAGCCGCCAGTGTGGCGGGGAGACGAATCCACGAGCTCATCGATGAAGTCTGTAGCAGAGACTTTGCTCTAGCCGCCAGAATAGTTGAGGAAAACAAAAGAAAGTCTATTTGAGTCCGTACTTACAAGCCAAGGCTTTGTTGTTGTTGTTGTTATTTTTAGGGGAATTTGTTAATTTTGCCCTCGTAGATTTTATTTTTTTTTAAGTTTGATCTTCAGCTGAAGGTTGAGTGCACAGCCATACGATGTAGATCCAAATACCCAAAATGGAGTTACACCAAAAAGATAATTTGGTGGCTATATGAATTTTGGGTGACTTGCATAAAAAGAAATCAATTTATGTGAAACTGTTGCATTTCCATCGGTGCAAATTTAAACAGGGAAATTTCATCACAAAAACAGGAATTGAAGGAGTTAAAGTATGTTGTACAATAATTTTCACAGAAAAAAGGATGCAACAATAAGAGCATTCAAGCTACAGCAATGCCAACTACATCATCACAGTGCATAAACACAAGACAGCACTGAACTTGAGATGAAAAACCAAATGATATAATATATGCAACATCAATCACAGGTCTGACCAAAAATCCAACACTTGATGATAAATATACAAACACATACAGCAGCAGCCTTACCTTATTCTTACCAGTCCCCTCTTTCTCTCTACAAAATGCAATGACAATATTAACGAATAAAGTTTGCTGGTCCCATAAGTAACAACCCTCCTGCTCATAATAACAAACTCAAATTAATAATAGTACACTGCGTGTATCTCCGCCATGATTCCCCGTGGTGGACTCAAAGACGATCTCACCACCTCGCATCGTATGTGGCCTTCACGCTCCTTCCCCATCTCTCCTGGAACAACTCTACCGACACCCAAATATAACCCTACTGCAAAGGATTAGCGGCTGAACGAGGTCACCTTCGTTCAGGCAGCAGCGATGGGCTCAGCTGGTGGTGCAGGGGCTGCTGCTGCGGGGGCAGCGGCGGCGGGTGCGGCATTCTCCTTCTCAGGGACAGTGCCGTTGGCAGGGGCATCCTTGGCAGCAGGTGTCGCTACCGCCTTAGCTCCGTCCTTTCCAGCGGCGGCCGGAGTTCCATCCTTCCCAGCGGGTGCTGCAGCAGGTGGTGGAGGTGGCTTCATGTGTGGCGGCGGTGTGTGCTTCAGCTTTGAGAGGATCTGGCGCATCCGCGCCATGTCGGTGGCCTTCCCGGGCTTGGGGCCCTGGACAACGATGATCCCAGGCTTCTTGTCCTTGTCCTTCTTGCCCGTCCTCTTCTCGATGTGCGCAATCTCCTGTGGGATGAGCTCGGATATCGCCTTCCAGTACTGCTTGTCTGCGCCCTTGTGGAACTTCTCCTGGTTGGACAGGAAAAGCTGATACCAAGCAGCAACACACACAGGGAGACAAGAAAAGGAGATGTTAGGTAACCATATGTTGTTCAAAAAGAGCCAAAGGAGAATACACAGGGTCATCATGATGTTAAGAAATATTACTGTACCTTCTCCCTTTCCCGGTTGTGATCCTTGCTTGTCTCAAGGTTCAGCTTGCGCTTCTCGACGAAACCCTTCTTGAACTCTTCAGCTTCAAGGATGATTTGGCTCCTCAGCTCCTTCTCGTGCTTCTCCTTTTCCTCCAGAAGGAGTGCATTTTGACTGTTCAGAGCTGGCGTTAGCATTTACTTTGCACAATACAGATGGAATCAAGCAGTACAAAATAGCAGTATTTATTGTCGAGACAGATATAGCCTCTGTTCAAGATGTTTAATGCACCACTAGCGTTGTAGTTGATGATATAGAACAGGGCCTACAGCAATTTATATAAAGACATTCTCTTGCCCGGAAGTCAGATCTGGAGTCATATGTTATATCTTTATCTGAAAGTTTATTTCGTAGTGGCTACAGCAAACTGCATTCTTTGGTGCAGGGGTTTAAATAGACAAATAGTGCACTGGAGGAAACATAGCAGAAACGCCAAAAGAGGCAAACACTTCCTATATGGGGAAGTAACATTAACATAATCAAGAACCCTCATTTAGATTTCGGAAAGCTCTCATTTTGGACACAACACTTTGAGCACCTACATATATGTCAATATTTATATTGGATAACTGGAAGTCATATGTAGATTTGTCTCAGCAAGTAGCCCATTTTGGAAAAACAAAAAATAAACTTAAATCATACAAAAATACAGACTTATGCGCAAGAACATGAGACTGTATCTATTTGCCACTATGCTCTAGAAATAAGAACAAGGGAAGTCAATTTCATTTTAAATTCACTATAGATAAAAAACTAAAGAGGCAGCTACATCCAGAGAGTCCTAGATATTCAAACTTGCAGTTTCATCACGCAAATCCGATTGGACCTTCTTGATTTGATATCCTCAACTACAAAATCCCAGGTTTATTTAAATAAAATTGTGCGCCTAATGTGCCACAAGATCAGCTAGCCTGAGAAAGTGTTCCAGGAAGATGAATCATTTTTATCATATTACCAGGTCATGATGAAAAAAGCTGTGGCAGTCAGACAAATATATACCTACTGTGAAAACACGACTTCGGTGACCAATTTGTACGGCAATCGCCCCTATGCAGTTAAATTTCTACTGCAAAAGCTGCATATACAGTAGATCATGGCAAAATTCCAAGCGATCATTAGCTTTTGTTCAGCTAAAATCCTAGTGTACTGAAGCTGCTAAAGCACTGGGTCACACCATCATACAGCACACACACTGAACTCCAAGCAATCATTTATTCTAATTCAGCTTAAATCCTAGTGTAGTACTGAAGCAGCAAAGACCGTGGATCACATCAACATATGGCAATTTCATTTTCCTGTTGGCAAAAGCTAACGCTACAGTTACACCCGGAGAGTCCCAGGCAGTAAAAATTGGGATTTTATCATGTGATTCCGGCTGCGGTTTGTTGATCTGACACCACCGACTACTAAATCCCAAATTTAAATTACCTACTTACTTAGCGTGTCACAAGCTTAGCTAGCCATGACAAGTTGCAGCAAGCTGAACCATTTTTATCTCATTAACAACTATTCATGGTGCAAAATTGTTGCTTCGATCACTTATAAGCAACTAAGCACGCGTACAGTGACCGATTTGTAAGTCAGTTGCTCTAATTCAGCTAAAATCCTAGTCTACTGAAGCTGGAGGCACTGGATCACATCATCATATCGGCACCACATCGATGGAATCTCGCGCACACAGCAGCTCGGCGCCCCAGATAATGGCAAGCGGCAGGCCAGATCGCGGTCCAGCGCGACAGATCTACGCCCCGGACCAACCCAGCCCGGCACGATCGCGCGGGTAGATCTAGCAGGACCAACGACCGAGCCGGGCCAGATCGATCAGATCTAGGCGAGAGGAGCAAGGAGAGGGAGGTACCGGCGCCACTCGCGGAGGAGGAAGCCCTCGTCGGCCCCCATCTGGGCGGGGTCGGGGAGGACGGGGCCGGGGTCGGTGAAGAGGCCGTCGTCGTCGGCGTCGTGGTGCATGGCGTGGCCGTTGCCGTTGGAGTCGGGCATGCCGAAGGGGTGCGCGGCGGCGGAGTCGTGGCGGAAGGCGTAGGGGTCGGGGGAGGCCGGGAAGGCGTCGCCGGAGACGTGGGCGTCGG